TTGTATTTACTGGCTGCAATTCAGAACTCAGAGGCTTTTTCCCTCCCAAGCACAGTTTTCCCATTCATCATTAACTACCTTGCACAGGGCCAAACCCAAGGCTCTGTGACTGCAAATATTTCCATATAAGTTAGTGTGCAGTTGCTTTTGCCCTAAACAAAAATTATTGCTGCAACTGAATAATCTGATAAAAATCCCCAAAGACTGCAGTCTAAAACATGTGATCACAGGTATCTAAGTCCTCCTGGGTGCTTGCTAGGTATTAAAAAAAAACATTTTAATTTAAAAATGGGAAGCCCACATGCTGCAAAGCAAAAGTCTCCAGCAGCATACTGAGTCCCAAGAATGCTTTCAGGCCCTTCAAAGGCACCATAAACTTTCAAAGCCACATAGGGTTGGAAGGGACCTTGAGTCCAAACTGCTGCTGGAGGCAGGAATCCTCAGACCATAATAAATTAAATTTATTATTATTATTATTATTATTATTATTATTATTATTATTATCCCAATCAAATGGATGTCCTGAAAAACTCCACGGTGGATCCCCAACCCATGACTTCAGGAAGCACGCTTTTCTATTGATTAATCGCTCTTCAAGTTGAGTTTGGATCTTTATTTGTAAACAATTGTTTGGACATTAGTTCTGCCCTATCGTTGGGTTCTATGGAGAACACAGCTACCCCCTATTCCCTGTGACAGCCTTTTTTTGCATTAGAAGACTGTTGTCGTTTCTTCCATTGGCCTTCTCTTTTTTAGGCCACACATACCATGTTCTTTTCTTAGAAAATAAAATACTGCAGCTCAATGCCCAGGGTCTAGGGTTTTGGTTTTTTTGGAAATATGCCAAGGAACAAATCTAAGGTAAGCAAGAATAATTTGTAGTATAGAGTAACTATTCATGACCCTAATAGGAATTATTTTGTGAATTAGCTTCCCTTATCCTGCTTGGGCATTTTTACAGGGATAGCCATTACATTCTCAAAATTCCAAGTGGGCCCAGTAGCTCACAAAACGTTGTTTTTCTTTGCAATTCCCTAGCTGTATTCCACCTCTTTCATAATTAGCTTTGGCCATTCTACTAGCAACTGTTTAGGTCACCTGTGCTCCGTTGTCATACACAGATAATCTACAATAACTTTAACACCATGCTGTACTTCCCATGAACAGGTGAGCAAGAGAGTCTTCCATCATATTTTGTGCCTACCATCATGCTTCTCCTATGCCTTCATAGCAGAATTCCTTCATGGATGATCTCCCAGTTTGTTGCATTACAACTCACTATCCTTGGGCAGCATGTTGGGGGCAGGGGGGATGATGAGAGCTATAGCTCAACCCATTTCAAGAGCACCAGCTTTGGAGTGCTTTTATCGGTGATATTTGGTGAAAAAATATCTTTTTTATTTAAATCTATTGATATAGTTGCCCACCCGGCAAATGAAACTCTAAGCAGCTAACAAATGCAAAGTTATAAAAGAACATCCAATTCAAATAGAAAATGGCAACAAAAGAAGCCTAATCAACAAACATATCATGGGCTCAATTAATATCCTGACCCCCTAAGCCAGTGGTGGTGAACCTATGGCACGCGTGCCGGAGGCGGCACTCAGAGCCCTTTCTGTGGGCACACGCGCCATGCCTCGGAGATGGCAACCGTCCCTCTTCAACCAGCCTCCCGCTAACTGGCCGAGGTCCCACATGGCCAGATGCATCCCAGCACCCATGTGCTCGCTGGCCTGTGTGTGCAGGGGCCGATGGTGTCAGGCAGCAGCCGCCCCGGCCCCTGCCTCACCTTTCCCTGTGACAATGGCACCCCTGCCCTGCCTCGCCTTGCCTCGCCTCACCCCGCAGGACGAGTCTCCTGCCCACCACCCCACCTGCCAGAGACCCCCTGGATCTCCCCCAACCCTGCCCGGCCCCCACAGACATCCCTCCCCACGAGCAACATCAAGATGATCACACCCACATGGCCACACCCACCCAATCTGCCATGACCACCACAGCCATGCCCATCCAGTGGGCCACGCCCACCTGGCACTCGGCAATAAATACGTGGGTTTTGGGTTGCAGTTTGGGCACTCGGTCTCTAAAAGGTTCGCCATCACTGCCCTAAGCCAATAAAAGGGCTTTCCAAAAGGCCATGCAGGGCCAGGGGTTTATACCTCTATGCCTTAATCTTGCTTTGTAACACTTATTCCATCCATCCTTGGGCACTCTGTGTTCATCATGCAAGTCCACAGAGCTGCTTTATACAAAGATCAACTTCTTAGCTCTCCCAAGGCCTCTGGCAGTCAATCTTTCCCGGCTAGGCTAATCAACTTTCCTTTTACAGATAATGTCAGGATTGAAACCTGCTGCCTTCTTTAATTTATACTTTGCCTTAAAGTGTAACCCCTTTCATTTATTTTAAGTTATTAAAAATATATTGAAATAACTACAAACCCTGCCCTGGAAAAGCATAAATAGCAATAAGCAAAAGAGAAAATTGAAAAATTATATACTGACTGACCCAAATTCAATCTTGCAATTATAAAACATTTAGACAAGTCATCTGAATATCAACTATTAACCAATATATGGTACAGAAGTGAGCAATCAGTGACAGGAGTGAGGAGGACAGTATGGGACCCAGTGTGGTAGGAAGCAGGCCCAAGGCCTGCAGGGAGCTGGAGGATGGGGGCAGGATTGGGGTGTATATCAAACCTGACTCGACTCCATAGTTGCCTGTACCTGCTTTTGTTCACAGCTTCGCCAAACAGAGAAGAGAATTCCTACCAATAGAGGGAAGCTATGGAATGCAAGTGAACTGTCTGTTGCCAGGACGATGTTATCTAATGAGGCCAAGTGATGAAGAATGTTTTGACTGAAGCAGACAGATTTTCCCAAAGCAAAAAAACTGAACTCAATTGAACTGTGGGTGGCCTGGAGTGGAAAAGGAAGTTATCTATGTGGGTTTTCATGGGAAAAATCCCAGAACTGACTTTGCTTCTGCAGTATTTAGATGGATTTTTTCAATAAAGCTACACTCTTGGTTAATCTAAAAAGCTGGGAGTTTTTTTATTGAATGTGCTAAATGGGATGGTGGTGGGGAAGGGAAAGATAGGTGAAGGGGCAATGCAATATCCCTGTAGTTCAGTGGTTCTCAACCTGTGGGTCGGGACCCCATTTGGGGTCGACCGACCATTTCACGGGGGTCGCCAAGCAAGGCTGTCTGCCATTTTTTTGTCCGCCATTTTTTCCCCTTTTCCGGCGGGTGCCTTACCTCCCTTGGGCTGGGCCAGCTGGTGGTCAGCCTGCTCCGTCTCTGCCACTTGCCAGCTACGCCTCGGCCGGCGCAGGGGGCGGAACCACGCATGCGCGGCGCTCCCGGGCAGGGAAAGTCCTCGACTTACGACCGGTTGGGTAGTCCTTGACTTACAACCGGTTTAGTCCTCGACTTACAACCGGTTGGGGGTCGCGGCATTAAAAAGGTTGAGAACCACTGCTGTAGTTGGACATAAGAGAGAATCCACCCAAATGTTGTTCAAGGGCCCATGGGGATTCTGCAATGACTTTAATTTCAAAACCAGATTATAGGTAGCTTTTCGGGGAGGGGGGGTGCTATAACTTCAAATGGTCATTAAATGATTGGCCATAAATCAGGGATTACCCATATGACCATCTCAAATTAAAATTAAAATAAAAACAAAAAATCTGCTCCCTAATTTGAGAGACTATAGTTCCTTCATGATGCCAAATGTTCCTTGTACCCCTCCTTTCAACATGGCAGATATGTAATTCCCCAGAACTTTTACCCCTAAACCTCTTGCTTCTCTCTTAAGTTATGTATATAATGATTATCAAGAATCATGTGATAGTCACTCCAAGAATGGCTTTGCAATGAAACATTACAGAGTGGAATTATGGTTCTCATGAAGCTCATTCATTCCCATTTACAGTTGACTCAGACCAGCAAAAGGGATGCCCTATGTCACAGCAGATTATTTGTGAGCCCAAAAAATATAAAATGCCCTTTGATTTCTCCCTTCCCCTTTTACTCTGTTCAACTTGTGGTTCCCCTACCTTGGTAAGACAGTCAATTTTGTAAACCCGATTTCCCTAATGTGGAGCCCTGCATTCAAGTGGGAATTGCTATTCCCAGGATTTCCATTCCGGTTGGTTTGGACCAAACATGCTTGGAAATCAGGTTGAAGAGAATCTTTAACTTAATTAAATCAGCTGCCTACATTAAGCAGGATCCTGCACCCAATATTAGTCTCAGTATCTAAATCTAACTCTAACCCATTATCTATTGGATAAAAGATTCTCTGTCTGGTCAGCCTTATATAATGAAAAGTAAAGGGAAGGGGTCAATTTCATCCAAGACTAACTGGCCTGTTTGGGTTCCAAGACTGAGCAGAATGCTTTCCCATTCTTTATCCAACAAAAAAGCTCCCAAACAGCCAGGAACCCATTCCTCTCTTTTTCACAAACTTAACTATAAACATCTCCTAATCATCTCTCTTAGAACAATTACAGCCTTCCTCAAAATCCCTAAACTTTGGTAGGTAAAACATTAACCATTAAACGTTTCTTCTCTTAAAAATTAAGCAGCAGAAATGTACTTCTGACCATCTGCAAACTATCTTTCATTCCTCTTTGGCTGAACGAGCCCATACCCTTAAAGTGGATATAGGTTTTTATCAGGTGGACTTTGAGACAGGTTTGGCAGTCCTCTTCCACTGCGGATTCTCGAAATTCCCCAACTCCTGCTTTCCAATCTGTATTGTTTTTCTTTCTACCCCCACTCCTAACTACGCTCCTAAATCCTAACACGTCCAGCAAAAATTTCACACGTCCAGCGCCGGTCGCCGCCAGTGTGCTTATTCTGAGGCTGGAAATTGCGAGCGCAGCTTAAGAGGCTTGTCCCACCGGCCCCGTCCAGGTTGCGCCCTCCGTCGCTCCTCTGGAATCAAGAGTGCACAAAGGAGCCCCTTTGTACCCCCGACGACAGCCCTACCCACCTCCACGTGTTCCTGCTCCACCTCCACGGCCACCACCTCGTGGCTCCGATGCTCCTGGGTCCGGCAGAGTTGGCAGATGCAGCTGTGGTCGGTCCGGCAAAAGCTCTCCAAGGGCTTGAGGTGCAACTTGCAGAGGCTCTCCTCGATGTGCCGCAACGGCGGAACCAGCCGGTGGCTTTGGAAAGCCGGGCTTTTCAGATGAGGCTGCAAGTGGGGGGTGCAGAAGGACGCCAAGCACACCAAGCACGACTTGGCCGCTTCAGCCCTCTTCTCCCCATCGGTGCAGAAGTCGCAAAGCACCTCCTCGATCTGGGCATCGCCGTTGCCCGGAGCGCGCGGCTCCGACGTTTCCTCGGGTGCCATAGCCAGGCCCGGACTGCTAGGCGAGGGCTGTCGGAGCTGCAACAATTCCGCCAGGGTGTGGTTCTTACGGAGCGAGAGGTCGGCTGGGAAGGATTCCTGGCAGAGGGGGCAGCGGGAGGCACTTGGTCCTCCGGCTCCTGTAACGCCCCCGGGGTGATGCCTGTGAGCCCCGATGCACTCCAAGCAGAAGTTGTGGCCGCAAGGAGTGGTGACCGGGTCCTTCAGAGAGTCTAGGCAAATGGGGCAACCGAAAGGACCTTCCTGAAAGTTGGGAGAGAAGCTAATGGGGCCAGAGCCCGCGTCCATGCTGCTGAAGTCAGCTAGCAGACGAAGAGCGCGACGCTGGGTTGTTGGCCCCTTTCCCCGAGGCAGGGCAGGACTGGGGGCTGGAAGCGCCAACTCCGCCCATCGGGAACTCAGGCCGACAACGGGCAGCCGCGGCCAGCCCCCAAAGGCCAGCGAGGGGCCGCTTCCGTGCGCGGCGTTTCTCTGCAAAGGGCGACTTAGACCAGAGGCAGCGCCTGCTTTTATCCGCCCGCCTCGGTTAGAAGAAAAATAAAAGCGCCGCTCCTCCTGGAGGCGCGCGAAATGAACCCGCGTCAAGCTTTTTCCCGCCCTTCCTATTCTAGTTAAAAACGTGTGAGTAATTGTGAAACAATCCCAGGGGTGTTTCGGAACTTGGGAAGCTGACCGTTCCCGCCTCCGCGCCGCCGTCGAATTTTCCAAACAGGACACGATTGCGTCATTTTACTCCTCTCAAGTCCCGTCCATTTCAGCAGCAGATAGCCGGGTGATAACACTTAGCGAGGGTATTAGTGTTAGGAATAAAATTTTAGAATAAAAATTAAAATTAAGTGACACGTACTCTGTAAAATTTCTACACGCAGACAGTAAGATTTCTACACAAAATTTCTACATGTACACGTACCTTGTAAGAGTTCTGCACGTAGGCTATAGGATTTCCACACTGAGCTATAGGATTTCATGTTAAAGTACATATAAGGGAATAGGTGAAGCAAAATAGTAAGGGGCAGGGATAATGTATTTTGTTTAGGCGATCCTGATAAGATTGTAACCTCAGTGGAGGGGCCAAGGCGTCGGGATAGAATGTATATAATGTGTGTCTTTGTTGTGACTAGGTGTGGCTCAAATATTTATTTGGAGTCCACCACGCTTTGCAAACCGTTGTATCCAATAAATCTCTGTCTAATTTCAACTTGCTGTTTGGTGTTATTCAGTGGGCTAGAATTTCTACCAACATTAGGAGTCATGAATTGCTGACAGATTCCTCCTCTCCCCCCTTCCCCCCCCCGTTTTTCCTGCAGTTAAATTTCTGTTTTAACTTTTTTTTTTTAAACACGAAACCTGGCTATTTTTGGACTATATTTATACAACTGACATGTTCAGCCATCCAATTGCTGCGCAAGTTAGGTGTTCTTAATTTCTTCAAAGGGTCCATGAATTGATTTTATTCCCTAGGAAAGATGCACAGGTGAAAGCTTGAAAAGGCAGTTTCTGGTCATCTGGCCAGCGTCACCTAGTGCTAGTTTCTCAAAACACAGCTGAAATACATTATTCCTTCCCTTCTCTGTTTTTAATCAATCTGTGACCGCTATTATAAACTGAGGGCAGGAATAAATATTTGGAGCCACTCCTCAGTAGTTAAGGCTTTTACAAGCTGGTAACATTGGATTTTGCATAATTGGATGGGTTTGTAATAGTGGATATTTAAAGCCACACTGCCAACGAATTAGCATAGGTCATCAAGAGCTCTGCAGCAACATGGCTGTTGGTGGAAGATCCTTCAATTCCAATGGTGCTGTTCCTTTTCCATGCTAATGAATGGAAAGATGGCTTCATTATTATGGTATCTGAGAGGTAGCAAGTAGCAGGAGGCATGACTTAAAGACTACAAGGTAGGGCAGTGGTGGCGAACCTATGGCAAGCGTGCCAGAGGTGGCACTCAGAGCCATCTCTGTGGGCACGCGCACCGTGCCCCGGAGATGGCAACTGTCCTCTTCAACCAACCGCCCGCTAACTCGCCGAGGTCCCACATGGCCAGATGCATCCCAGCACCCATGCGCTCGCTGGTCTCTGTGTGCGGGGGCCAATGGTGTCAGGCAGCAGCCGCCCCGGCCCCTGCCTCACCTTACCCTGCGACAATGGAACCCCCGCCCTGCCTCGCCTCACCTCACCTCACCCCACAGGATGAGCCTCCTGCCCACCGCCCCACCCACCAAAGACCCCCTGGATCTCCCCAACCTTGCCCTGCCCCCACAGGCATCCCTCCCCAGGAGCAACATCAAGCTGGCCACGCCCACCCATCTGCCATGACCACTGTAGCCATGCCCACCCAGCAGGCCACGCCCACCCAGCACCCCAGATACATAAGTGGTTTTCGGTTGCAGTTTGGGCACTCGGTCTCTAAAAGGTTCGCCATCACTGAGGTAGGGGAACAATATATAGCATGATTTTTTGAATTCTTCCTAACTCTTTACTAATGGCCTTGAATTGCATGGAGAGGTGCTTAGAATGGAGGAATTGACAGCAAGCTGAGCAACTGCCTCCTGCCTTTCCCATACAGATTGACTGAAAGAATTATTTTTCCTGAATCTTTTCCCCAAAATCTCTAGCCAGATCTGACTCAGTTTCAACTTTGATCTTTCTTTTTCCCGTNTCTCTGTCTAATTTCAACTTGCTGTTTGGTGTTATTCAGTGGGCTAGAATTTCTACCAACATTAGGAGTCATGAATTGCTGACAGATTCCTCCTCTCCCCCCTTCCCCCCCCCCCGTTTTTCCTGCAGTTAAATTTCTGTTTTAACTTTTTTTTTTAAACACAAAACCTGGCTATTTTTGGACTATATTTATACAACTGACATGTTCAGCCATCCAATTGCTGCGCAAGTTAGGTGTTCTTAATTTCTTCAAAGCGTCCATGAATTGATTTTATTCCCTAGGAATGATGCACAGGTGAAAGCTTGAAAAGGCAGTTTCTGGTCATCTGGCCAGCGTCACCTAGTGCTAGTTTCTCAAAACACAGCTGAAATACATTATTCCTTCCCTTCTCTGTTTTTAATCAATCTGTGACCGCTATTATAAACTGAGGGCAGGAATAAATATTTGGAGCCGCTCCTCAGTAGTTAAGGCTTTTACAAGCTGGTAACATTGGATTTTGCATAATTGGATGGGTTTGTAATAATGGAGATACCTGTTGATATTTAAAGCCACACTGCCAACGAATTAGCATATGTCATCAAGAGCTCTGTGGCAACATGGCTGTTGGTGGAAGATCCTTCAGTTCCAATGGTGCTGTTCCTTTTCCATGCTAATGAATGGAAAGATGGCTTCATTATTACGGTATTTGAGAGGTAGCAAGTAGCAGGAGGCATGACTTAAAGACTACTAGGTAGGGCAGTGGTGGCGAACCTATGGCACGCGTGCCAGAGGTGGCACTCAGAGCCCTCTCTGTGGGCACGCGCACCATGCCCCGGAGATGGCAACTGTCCTCTTCAACCAGCCGCCCGCTAACTCGCCGAGGTCCCACATGGCCAGATGCATCCCAGCACCCATGCGCTCACTGGCCTCTGTGTGCAGGGGCCAATGGTGTCAGGCAGCAGCCGCCCCGGCCCCTGCCTCACCTTACCCTGCGACAATGGAACCCCCGCCCTGCCTCGCCTTGCCTCACCTCACCCCGCAGGATGAGCCTCCTGCCCACCGCCCCACCCACCAAAGACCCCCTGGATCTCCCCAACCTTGCCCTGCCCCCACAGGCATCCCTCCCCAGGAGCAACATCAAGCTGGCCACGCCCACCCATCTGCCATGACCACTGTAGCCATGCCCACCCAGCAGGCCACGCCCACCCAGCACCCCAGATACATAAGTGGTTTTCGGTTGCAGTTTGGGCACTCGGTCTCTAAAAGGTTCGCCATCACTGAGGTAGGGGAACAATGCATAGCGTGATTTTTGGAATTCTTCCTAACTCTTTACTAATGGCCTTGAATTGCATGGAGAGGTGCTTAGAATGGAGGAATTGACAGCAAGCTGAGCAACTGCCTCCTGCCTTTCCCATACAGATTGACTGAAAGAATTATTTTTCCTGAATCTTTTCCCCAAAATCTCTAGCCAGATCTGACTCAGTTTCAACTTTGATCTTTCTTTTTCCCGTTTCTTTTCAGCCCTCATCTCCATCCCCCAGACACATACCAAATATGGTCCTATTCTGTTCAATTTTGTAAGATATATCTTGGTAATGGACAGTTCTGAGGATCATTACATAACATCATTCCAACTTTCCTTTTGTATGCACAGAATAAAAATGATAATAAACATGACAAGAACCTGCAATGCTAGTTATACATATGTCATAATTTTCTCCATAGAAAAATAAGCTTTCTTTCCCTGCAAATTTTCACAAACTTAGGAAAATGGAATAAAACCTGCTTTAGATCTAGATTTCCTTTTAAGCTGCTTTTTTTTTTAAAAAAAACAAAACATTAATGCTTGCATTTTTATAATTCTGTTTTCCATTCAAAGATCTTGTTGATCTTTTTAAAGACTGTAGTCTGTTCTAATAGGGAAAAGGTTACAATAAATTTTAAAAATTGCTTTCCGGAATATGAATTCTTAAGAACTTCTTATTATCCAGTCACCCATATGAGAAACTATATATGTACTTAACTGTTTCACAAAATACCTTCATAATGAAGTGACTGCAGAATGCTTGTGAATAATGATCTGTCCAGGGCAAACACTACTGTGCATTTTCTTTCTGTCCAACTTGATTCTTTATTGGCTATGACAATTTCCCACTTAAAAGTTAATTATGTTTACACTATTTCTTTATTGCTATTCATTTCTTAATTTTGTAGCTTGTCAGAAAGCTTTATGCAGCCCCAAAAACTCACGTATTAGATTCTGTGCTGTATAAGCATCTAACTACATCTGTACCTATTGTCTCTTGTACAGCCAAACAGCTTAATTTTTTGTCAATGTTCCAGAGTTATTTGCTTACTCAGAGTTTTTCCATAGGGGCAGTCTTTGCCTATACTTGTAAATCAGGTGACTTCTCAACAGTTAAATCTGGCTGGGCGGCCTTTGGCAAAGAGTCACGGCTGTACCTTCACAAAGCCAGAAAATTGGAACTAGAGGCTCTGTAAAGGTGGCGTGAAAAACATGAAGGCATTTCATATTATTGTCTATGCTGTAAAAGGATATCGTTCCTTGATCACAGTCCAATAGAACTCCAATGAATTTGCACAGAGGTTCTTTTATCTTTGTAGACTTGTCATTGTACCAAGCCACGTAGCTGTCTTCTTGGATATGCAGGCCCCAGGAGAATTTATCCAACCCAATGGTGAACTTCTGATGAGCCTGTTTCAATCTGGTGAATGTTTGGCAAACTACGCCAACAATGACGGAGTGGTCAGATAACTCTACTTCCCAGTAGTGACAGCCTTGGCTGAAGTTCTGAGTACACATGACTTGCCATGGCTCAAACCTTTGAGGGTCATTTGGCTTTGGCTTTTGAAAACCTTGGGGATGAGTTACCTTCTGGTTATTATCAGATATCTGCAAGTATTTGTTAGCTGTGACTGGATCAAATGTCAAATTCTGCTGATCTGCGGGAGTGACAATAATAACATATTAGGAAAAAAGCAAAACTCAAGAATCTTTAAGCACCAATTTACCTCCTCTCTGGAATATTTTCTATTCTGCACATTCATTGAAGGAAAGCACATATTACACATCAAAACATGTTATACAGAAGGATGATATTATTAAAGTATTGGTTAATTTTAAAAATTAGGAGTTGTGTTGTTGAACAGATCCTTCATTGTTATTCTGCATTTTCTAAACTCTAGATCAGTGATGGCGAACCTTTTAGAGACCGAGGGCCCAAAACCCGCCCCCGCCCCCCCTGCAGGGCCACTCATCACCTCCATGGCCCGCCGCAGATCGCCCAGGTGGCCCAGTAGTGCCATGGCGGCCACACCATCCGCGCCCTGCAGCATCATCTGCATGCGATGGGGTGCGAGGGCGGAGTCTTGTCCCCGCTGCCAGGTCCTTGGCTGTGCTGCGACATGTGGGCCGCGCTTGGGGGTGACTTCTCGGGGGGGCTGCTGGTGAGGAGGGGGCCATGGGGGGAGGCGGGGCTTGGGCAAGGCGTGCATGCCCATAGAGAGAGCTCTGAGTGCCACCTCTGGCACGTGTGCCATAGGTTTGCCACCACTGCTCTAGATGATGTAATGTAATTTTGCTTCATGTTTATTAGTGTCACAAGTTACCATTGTTTTTAGATGTGGAATCTTTTAATATGGATTCTAGGAAAAATTAACTTTTTAGGGTTGGAAGATACTAAACCATTACATGCTGTAATAAGTAGGAAAGTAAGAATAATAATAGTTTTACGTCTTCTACTCAATCTTGACTCCTGGATGAGTCCCTCCTGGATACGTTCCTCTCAATCTTGACTCCTGGATAAGTTTCCTTGGCAACCTTTTCAGAAGTAGTTTACCCCTGCTTTTCCCTAGGGCTAAGAGAAAGGGGCTGGTCCAAGATCACCCAGTTGATTTTGTGCCTAAGGCAGGAGTAGAACTCAAAGAGTCTCTTGGTTCCCAGGATATGGTTGATGAAAACTGAAAACTAGCTTCAAGGCCAAGGATTATTCCTAGCTGAAGAGCTCACAATAGTCTTTTTGAAATCTATGCCATGATAAAGGGTGTCTGTTCTTGCTGGCAATTCAGGATTCTTTTGCTTAGCATTCTGCCTAAATATGATTGATGAGATAATTATTTCCCCTAGAGATACAAACCAGAAGCCCAACCCTAGGAAATAGACAGACATATACCCATCACAGATTATCCTGTATTTATTGTTGTTAGTTACTGAAAACAAACACCTCTATGAGAAACAGCTATGGCTTTCCATTTTGATTAGTTTTCATTTTGCCAAAGAAGAGGAACGACTGCCTCTATATTTATGGAAAAGTAGATTCAACTTATAAAATTAGAGATTTAATTAACTGGTTCCTTGTGTGTTAATCTGCATACAGGGTCTCTTTAAAAGCAGGAACTTTAAAAATTAGAATGAGAAAATAAAACAGGAGATGGGTCTCTGATAATTAAACAAAAAAATATAAACATAGTTCAGCCTACACTGATGTCACAATTGTCTCTATCAACTATGAGATATAGACTGAGGGGCATGTACTGGAAATGGAGCCTTATCAACCAGGTGGACTAGAAACAACCAAGAATGGTGAGTGTGCAATCAACGTTCAGTAAAATAACTTTGGCTGGATGTACCACAGACAACATTATTGTAGGGCAAGATATTTACTGGGTTATGTAATGTACACACACCTCTGCAGTCATGGAGGTACAACCACATTTTTTTTTACTTAATGATACAGGCTTTGATTTTTTTAAAAGATGGGAATAAATTACATAAACTGTAAGGAAATCTGGAAAGCATGATGCAGCATTGCCCCTTCAAAGCCACTGTATTCCTACCTACATACCAAGATCTTCCCATTCAGTTACAAAGGATAAAACGTGACTTGTTTTCATCTTTGCAACAAACATCAAGCTCAGAAACAGCTATGTGTTGAACCTCGTTCCTCCCTGATTTCTTTCTTGGAGCAGTCCTTTGCTACCTCCAGGAACAGTTGCACTCCAAGGCAGAAAAAGCCATCCAACCTCACATTGGACTTGAGGGGCTGAACTGTTAAGTTCCAAAGAATCATTTTTTTTCTCTTTGTGTGACCCAAAGGTGTAGGGGATTATTATTCATAATTGACAATCTCTTCTGGTACAGAGGGCCACTGATAGTGTAAATAGCCCAAATGGAGGACAAGACTAGGGCCATCCATTGAACGCTCCTCCCCCTGCAACAGCAGTAACTGGCCTAGGATTTTCCTTAGTAGGCCCAAATGCTCCAATCTTGATTTGAGACAGTATGCTTTGCCCTCTGCCTTTCCAGGGATGAGCGCCTATTGGTTCAAAGAGTAGTGCACAAGGCTGTGTCCTATATCAACTAAGCTTGTCACAGGAAGGTGAGGGAATGGGTCTGCTCCTGTTTGAGGCAATGGCCAAGGTCTGCCAAGGCTTGGCATTAGACACTTGATAATAAGTCTTCTACTCATCAACCAATGTCCTGAATGAGGTGTTCTACAGGACAAGGGACATGATGACAAACTGTCACTCACTCTTGAACACTGACCTGGTGAAATAACCCATCTTCTTTAAGTCATCCCCTCCCCCCCCCCAATATTGGACTTCTCTGACCTGCTACATGAGGGAGGTGAAGGATTAGTCCAGGGGTAGGCAACCTTGGCTCTTTTATGACTTGTGGACTTCAACCCGCAGAATTCCTGAGCCAGCCTACCCCTGGGTTAGTCCCTTGCCTCATTCTAGCACTGGCATTTACTTGCTTACTGCCTAAATGCATTCAACAATGAGGAGAGTTATTCCTGAGATGTCATTTCAACCAAGTCACACTCTGAGCCAGTCAAATGAAGCAAGTCCCTGGATTCAGGCCTGGATGAATTCCACATGTGGCTCACCTGGCTCATTTCTGATCAGCAACTGAATGGGACGACACCAGAAGAGAATCCGCATGTCTTTTTCAGTCTCTGGGTAACATCACTGAGAGGTGGATTTTCCATGAGAGTTTATTTATTTCCTACATCTCTCCCACGTCTATGGAGATTCTCAGACATCTAGGGTCATAGTTGTCCCAAAGGTGCTTTTCAAAAGGCAACTGGACTTTCTTGATTTTTTTCCCCTTGAAAACGTTTCACTTTTCACCCAAAAAGTTTCTTCAGTTCTGACTATTCACTATTCAATCAGAAACGAAGAAGCTTCTTGGAGGAGAAGTGAAACATTTTCAAGGAAAAAAACCAAGTTTGCCTTTAGAAAAGCACCTTTGGGACATTTCTCTCATAGTTCCTTATCTTCCCTTAAACCCATTGCCATAGCCAACAAACTTTCATGTGTGGCCAGCGGTATTGTATTTATTTCTATATTTCTAAAATTTGTTAAGATAAATACATTTTTAAAATGCTCTTATGCAAAGATAGTGCAATCTATGGTTCATTTTGTTACAAAGGTGTGCTTGAACTTGCTTGTTTCAACCTGTTTGCTAGAGATCATCTGTAATTCTGTAGGTTTAAAATGAAGAGTTGTTTTACTGATCATGGTGTGTGCATGACTCATAAGCAATTTTTTGTTCTAATGCACTACTTGATACAGTATTATAAATGTAACCCTAACTCTAATGTACATTCAATATGCATTTCTGATTTAAATACCTACGGTAAGGCAGGGGGCATTTTTTTGCATTTCCTAGGATGGAGTCCCTCTTCTGGGCAGTGGATCTATTTCTGTTCTGTTATGTTCTCTCAGGATCTCCTCCTATACCACAGAAAGTAATTGACTGAATGGTTTGTTGTTTGCTGTGAGAGGTTAACACAGACAGCCTAAAGCTTTACTTAGAACAGTGGTGGCGAACCTATGGCACGGGTGCCAGAGGCGGCACTCGGAGCCCTCTCTGTGGGCACATGTGCCGTTGCCCCAGCCTTGCCTCCTCCCACGACCTCCTCCTCTCCAGCAGCCCCCCTCTGAAGGAGAGTCGCCCTCGAGCGTGGCCCACACGGAGCAGCGCAGCCAAGGACATGGCAGCCAGGCAGCGTAGACAAGACTCTGCCCTCACACCCCATCATGCAGTTGATGCTGCAGGGCGCGGGCAGAGGGTGTGGCCGCCATAGCGCTGCTGGCCTGCCTGAGCGATCTGTAGCAGGCCCTGGAAGCGGTGAGTGGTCCTGTGGGCAGGCGGGGCGGGGGATGGGGGGCAGAGCAGGGGCGGGGCAGGGGGTGGAGTGGGGGTGGGGCCAGTTTTTGGGTACTCAGTCTCTAAAAGGTTCGCCATTACTGACTTAGAACATCTCTACTTCCAAGGCAAATTTCAGGAACACTAGGGCCAAAGGCTACAAGATCTGGATTGCAAAACCCTGCATTACAATTAGATGGCAGCAACATTTTAGAGTTTATTGTGTTTTCTACTGCCATCTAGTCCTGACTGTTACAGACAG